CCTGCCCCCCCCCCCCCCATCCTCTCCCTCTCATCTACTCAGGGTCTGTCTTCACTCTCTCCCATCGCCCTTCATTCGCTCTCTCCCTCCTCCACGATTCCCTTCTTCTTTTGCTAAGCTGCTTTCCACTGCTTTAATTGGTGTCTGAGTGTGAACGAGAGGGAGATGTGTTAGAACAACACTGAGAAAGAATGTGTGAGTGTGAAAGACAGAAAAAAAACAAGTGAGAATAAGACAGAAATATGTGTGTGGTCCTTTCTCCTTTGGTCTGCTCCATTTAGTTCAACTGTGCTTAGCACAGCTTCATCTTATCTTAGTTCTTTTAGGGTTAGTGCCTGTAGCCCTAATTTAGTCTTAGACTAAGGTCCAAGTTCATTTTGTCATAATGTCTTGAGTCTTGGCCCGGTTGTCGAGTGCTTCTTACTCACCCCTGGGACAGCGACACCTGGATGTTGTAGCAGGGAAGCAGTGGGCAGTCAGACAGCTCGAACTCAAACACCTCCCTCCTGGCACGCTGTTCCTCATCTTCGTCCTCATCCTCGTCCTCCTCCTCCTCCTCCGGCCCAGGGGGATCAGCAAGAATGTTATACACTCCTCCCTCGCTGGGAGGCTCTGGGTGAACATAAACGAAGAGCTCAGTAATGCTCTTCACTAAATGTAATTTTAAATTCTTAGCTCCCTTGGTCCTGGCCTCTTCTGCACTAGCTCTTTTAGCCCCAGTCCTGGTTCCATCAGTACCACCTGCTGTTGGGCTGAGTCCTTCCATCCTAGTTCTACTAGGCCTTATTCTTTTAGTCCTGCTTAGCCCAGGATACCTTGTTCAGTGGTACATTGATTTACTAGCTCCTGGTTCTTATAATCCAAAGGTTTTAGTCCTGGTTTTCAGTCCCATCTTCAACATAGCATCTCTGGTTCTAGTTGAACCCCTGCTTTGTTGGTGCAGTTTTAACCTAGCTTCTTTTTGTCTGACTTTGATTTAACATGTGGGATGTCAAGTTCCTTTCATCCTAAGTTATTTATCTTTTGCCACCCTTCCCACTTATCTCTCCTGACAATTTTGTCCATGCATGATTGTGTGTGCTTGTGTTTAAACTAACCGCACACTGAGCTGCCATAGAACTCCCAGTAGATTCCTGGGTCGCCCTCTGATCTTCCCTGGAGGTCGGAGAGATAGTCTGCAGCGAGAAACAGGGGTAGAGGGTTTGTGGCTCTTGTGGCCGATCAAAGAGACGACCAATCAGAGGATGAAGGCTGCGAGATGAAAACAACAGAGCCACACAAACACAAAAACACAGAGTGCAAGACGGAAAGAAGAGGAGTGTTTGTGCTCAGACGGCTTGTCGCTGAGTAGACGGATGCTGGCAGCAATGTGTGTCTGTGTGTGTGGCATTAAGCTGTTCTGGGATGCAGCAGCCAAGCCTCATTAAACCCCTCTGGAGAGAGGGAGAGCAAAAGAGAGGGAGAGAGAGAACAAATACAGGCAGAGAATGGTAATCAGACAGGCTGGCGAGCACACACTCACTCAGGCTGCATCACTTTCCTCTCAGCTGTTTCCTTCTCATTTGCGCCTCCAGTTCTCTCACTTTCATTGCATCTGTTTCATTCTCTGATGCTTCATTTTACTGGTCCTGTGTTTTCCAGTTAATTTCCTTAAATTTTGCTGATATTTACTGTAGCTGTTAATTTCTAGGATATTTCCAACAATGGTCTGTGCAATTTGGTAGCAATTATAAAGCAACTAGACAAAGTTTCAGGTTGTGTCTACGTCCCAGCTGCAGTGACTCAGACCTGATGTGTCCACAACAGTGTGAACAGACCAGACCAGATGTCCTCAGATCAGATCTGGGCCACATGCATATGTGCTCCTAGACCCGATTCCTATCCGACCTCTGACTGTGCGAGCGCTATCAGAATGGTCAGATCAGAATCCATGTTGTTGTTTTAACGTCCCCCTCCTCCTAACTCTGTGGCCCCCCTCTTGTTGTTGTGCTTGTTGTGTCTTTTTGCTTTTCTTTTCTTTTCTCTCTCCTCTATCCACTCACTCCAACCATTTGAGGAAGAAGGCCGCCCACCAAGAGCCGGGGTCTGTCAGAGGTTTCTTCTGCTAAAGGGAGTTTTTCCTCCCTGCTGTTGCCAAGTGCTTGCTCAAGGGGGGTTTGTTGGGTTTTTCCCTTCTATAATAATAAGGTCTAGACCTGATTTTGTAAAGTGTTCTGAGACGACCTTTGTTGTGATTTGGTGCTATACTAATAAAACTTAATTAAAATTGAACTGAAATTGCACATGGCCTGTTGTTCTCATTCAGTATCGGCTCCTCACAGACCGAAGCCAGGTACATGTCATTGACACACACGGATGTGAAGCATCAACACAACAAGACCAGATCTGGGCATTACGGCCTGGGATGTAGAGACAGCATTATAGTTATTAATTACCTACTTATTTAAGTTTCTAAAAAAACTAGGACATTATGTGGTAAACTAACAGCAACAGGAGCAGATGGTGCCTCTGCTGGGACATGATATAATCTCAGAACACAAAGACACTCCTTCAGGTTTTAGAAATTCACTTAAAATTGACCAAATCGCTGGATGAAAGCAGCAGAGAGGACAACGAGTCCCTGACAGCTGTGTCTGTTACACCCAGCAGCAGATACAGTAACACACATTTTCTCTCCTACCCTCCAGGAAGGTTTCCATGGCAGCACTGTGGGTCATGTTGATTGGTCCTCGCCCGGAGTAGGAGGTGAGGGTTGGGTCAGCGCCGCAGGCCAGCAGGAACCGCACCACCTCCATGTGGTCATTCTCCACGGCGTCATGCAGTGGCCTGAGGGCAAACACAGATTAATCACTCATCCTGAAATAAATTAGGATAAACATATTTTTCAAAGCTCTGGACTCCTGCGACACCTCATACCTGGTTCCGTCCTGAGCGCTGCAGTTGACGTCAGCTCCATGCTCCACCAGGTGGCGTACAATTCCCAGCCAGCCACGGGCACAGGCCTCATGCAGGGCGCAGTACCCAGCATTGTCTCGGTGGTTAACATCACAGAGGCGTCTCTCCAGGCAGTACAGCACCACTTCCTGGACACACCCAATCAGACCAGAGCCGTCATACCCTCAAATGATTACTTTAGACAAATCCTGAAATCAGTGATAATCAGACCAAATTTACTGGCAACAGCTGTGTTCACAGCTGGCAAAGTCAGAGGGTGTCAACTGAATTTTTACAGCTTTGTCACAGTCACTGGTGTTACAAATAAAACTGTAGTGATTGCCTAGGTGATGGAAAGCTAATCACGTCCAAGGAGCTGGGATCATCTGGTGCAATCGTAGACTGTCAAATGTCAGATTTTAGGAGGTAATCACTGGTTTCTAATGCTACAAGGCTGTGATGTGATGTGATGCACACTGACGGGCAAACAGATTATGCAGAAGCTTTGAGAAAGCGAGCATCACTGCCATTTTATCTTTGAGATGCACGTCGTCTACATTTTCACACACACACAAACAAAAATGCCACAATACAGTCTCACCTGCAAAACAAATGCAGAGTGAAAACATTTCTGTACATTCTAGAAGTGTGTTTGCAAGGCAGGAACAGTGTCTTTCCTCCAGCTGGAACACACAATGTCAGTGACGCAATTTCATTCACAAACATCAGATGTGTTGTAAATAACCTTAATGAGATTAAGAATAAAGAACAAGGCTGTCAGACTGAATCCTCTGACTTTAACTACAAAACTCTTGCACTGTAGAAACTCTCACAGATGTGTTATAGAAGACAGGTGTGCGATCCTAAACTTTGAACATGAACAAAAACTACTGCACAAATCAACCACTTATTCTTCTACTCGTGTTATTAACCTCTTAAGTTTTAGGCAGGTTTTTGGAATTTCCACCTGAAAAAACAAACTCACTGAGGCTGTAGTAAACAGCCATGGGCTCTGTGGATCAGAGACACTGGGCAGAATTTAGAAACAACTCCCCGTCTGTGGACCAAATTGAGAGCTGTCAAACTCCAGCACAAATTCATACTACTTCAAATGACAGAGTGAAAAACAGTCTTGTTATAACCAGTGACATTGACCCTGTTGAACCTGCAGCTCAGTGATATGTGGTGCAGTACCAGTGAAGTATAACAATACAGTACCTTCAGTTTTAGCCACATGTGCCACACTTGGCCATTGTTTCAAAATAATAGCGACAAAGAACAGAACCCAGTACCAGGACCACTGCGGTGAGAAGGGGTGACAGCATTTCAGTCTGTCTGTACCATCGTTATTAAGGTGAGACCAAGTGATTGAGAGCATGTGGGAAATTTACCCACATTTATTTACCTTCTGATTTCTAACACCACCAGACTGAGAGAGTCCCAGATCTGCACTAGTTATCACAGTCAAATTATATAACAACTGGCCCAACAGTTGTGCCGTGCATCACTGTCTTTAAGCTGTTTAACATCATACCATCAAAGAAACAACATATGTAATACAACAGTTCCACCTTAAGAAAAGGAGACACGGGAGTCGAAGGCCTCTGAGAAATGTAATGACACCTCCTGCCTCTCTTTTTTCTGCTCTTTAAATTATTGCCATGTGAAAAAATGTGTGCGTGTGGTGATGGATGACGGCTTCATTTGCAAACTGAGCTTGTTAGCTTCACCGCTGCACCTCAATGAGAGCGAGGGAGAGAGGCAGGGTGACGCTCGTGCGCCCTGACAAGAGCTGTGTGTGCGCTGTGACAAATGCCTGCACACACATACACAGGTTTCTGCATCTAAATTATTCCCAAACTTCAACAGGATTTCAACTGAGTCACCTGATGATCCCTGTTGTAGTTTTTTAGCACACCGATTGTCCTGAGGGTGGCGCTACAGCAAAGGCCATGAGGGTCATTCAAAT